GGTGGACTCATTGGCCAGGGGCGCCTTCCTTCAGCTGTGGAAATTATATAAGCTATGGCCCTACCTGGACGAGCAGAGTCTCGTGACAGTTACACATAGACTGGTAACATCTCGTATAGATTACTGCAATGCACTCTACGTGGGGCTGCCTTTGAAGGCTGTCCGATTACCGCAACTGGTCCAGAATCGAGCTGCGTGGCTGGTGAGTGGTGGGGCCGCTAGGGTACACATCAAGCTGATTCTCTTTAAATTACATTGGCTACCAGTTACTGCCCAGGCCCAATTCAAAGTGCTTGCTTTGACATATAAAGCCTTAAACGGCTTGGGCCCTGGATACCTGAATGACCGCCTCCTTCCATATGAACCTATCCGGCAGTTAATATCTAGCCAGGGGGCCCTTTTGAAAGAGCCATCCCTCGAGATAAGAGGGATGGCTTGTAGACAAAGGGCCTTTTCGTTGGCTGCCCCCAGATTATGGAACACCATCCCAACTGAGATTCGTCTGGTGCCGATGCTGATGATATTTCGGTGCCAGGTCAAAACCTTCCTGTTCCAGAAAGCTTTTAATTGAAATAATATCAGCTGTGAGTCCTGATGGCAATTTTTAGAGTATCTATTTTAATTGTATTTTTATTTTATCTTTTTTACTGTAGTTAAATTCTTGAAAGCCACCCACAGAACTTTGGGTAGTGTGGGCGGCATATAAGTTAAATAAATAAATATTATGGTCCACAACTGTAGTAAATATGATTTATTATCAAAGAATGTCTCTAAGATGCATGATAGAAAATAATTATAGGCCTTTTAGAAAAGAAATTGTCAGCAACAGTACAGATGTGTGTATGATGGCAGTGAAGTAGCAAATCCTAAGGGACTAAAGAGGGATTTCATTCCAGTTATCCCATAGTCTTTAAAGTACCAATTGATGTATATGAAATAGAGGACTATGACTGGATACCTTCCAAGGAGGCTTTGATTCTGTCATCCTTATTGTTAACATAACATAGAATATCAAACTAAAACATTGACTAGTATTTATGTGTTGGAGTAAATGCTTTCAATCTGGAAACAGCGTTGAAATATCTTTTTTTTAAGTATTCAGCATTAAACCAATTTGGTGAATGTTTGATTCGTTTCTCATCAAGTTTCCTGTGAACAAGTACCATTTTTAGTAACAGGCCCTCGCATTAGATTGCATTTTGAAGTACAATGCTTTTTACTATACTTACAGCAGAAAAGGTGAAAAGCTAATACAGTGGTGCCTCACATAACGAGTGCCCCGTTTAACGACGAATCCGCATAGCAATCTATTTTTTGCAATCGCTAATGCGATTGCATTGCGATGATTGGTAAGCGTTTCGCTTACCGATCTTCGCATTGCGATGTTTTTAGAACAGCTGATCGGCAGATCCAAAATGCCCGCCGGGTGCCCAACATGGCCGCCGCCGCAAGCATTTTCGCGCCGTTTCCTCGCTTACCGAGGCGGCGAAAATGGCGACGCTATGGAGGATCTTCGCTGAACGTCCTCGCTTAGCGGCGAAAATGGCGACGCTATGGAGGATCTTCGCTGAACGGTGAGTTTGGGCCCCATAGGGTTTTTAGTTCCGTTAGCGATGTTTCCGGATAGCGTTGATTAATCTGGAACGGATTAACGTCCCTATGCGGGGCACCACTGTAGTTAAAAAACCCCTCTGTAGTTGCAATGCTTTAGAAAATACCTTGCATCCACATTGTAAACATGTTTTGTTAAAACTCTGTAGTTGCAATGCTTTAGAAAATATCTTGCATCCACATTGTAAACATGTTTTGTTACAACTGTGAAGTAGCAATAAACTTGTTCCTGTGAACTGTCCAAACTGAAGGAGTTCATTCGAAATACGGCCACTGTACTGCAATTTTTGAAGTGATAGATATGTTAGTCTGTGCAAGCATATCAAACTGTGATGAGGTAGAAGTTCAGAAGGGTTGCCACATGAGGGCACTCTGACATTGTAGTTTTTACTTTTTATTCCTGTCAGTTTTATGGCATGGCATTTATTGTGTTACATTGTTATTTTACTTTTGTATGTTGTCCAGCCTGGAACTAGGTTATAAGTCTGTCTTAACAAAATTTATGTGAAATATGAATATTAATATAAATGATAAAAAGCCCGTTTTAAGGACAATCCTAGATTAAGCTGTTCAAAATGAAGTTTGAAAGAACCCTCCATTAATGTGTGGCATATAAATCAAATGCTTTCATAAATATTTCTATGGACAGTACTTCTGAGCTAAATACTCTGTGTGTGTGTGTGTGTTTAACATATGCAGCCTTGCCATTAGTGACTTGTTAGAGCAAGTAGCATTTTCTGAATGGATAGTTTGATAGACAACCTGCTGAAATCCAAACACATTTACTTTCTGTGACAGGAAGGCTAACCTTCCCCGCCCTCTGCTTTAGCTGGAAGGTTGAACAAATACAGTTTTCAACCAGCTAAATTTTATCATGCCTTACTCCATGTTAGCCACAAAGTGAATTCAGAACATGATTGTGACTAATGCCATTAAAATGGAAGAAACATATGTGTTTATGTAGCATATTCAGCTACACATTGTCTCCTTCTCTTATCATTCTCCTTTAACTAGATAACTTACATTTTTAAAGGAAAGTTGAATACTCTTAAAACTCAGTGAGTTGTACACATAGTTTGGAATGCATAGCAAAGTTGATGACTGCCAGTGGTAGAAATATGTCTTCCATAGTAGAGCCAATGTGGACTTCTCATCCCTACATCCTGTTATATTCCATCTATTTTATGTGGGGGCGCGCGTCAAGGAATACTGATGAATTTGGTGGGTATTTGACACAGGAAACTAAGGAAGTCTGGGGTGTTTCCATAATTGAGGTGAAGACACTTTCCGGGAATGAAGTTCCTGCTGAAGAGGGATCCCTCTTCTCATCTTGCAGAATACTGTGCACCACACCCCATTCCATTCAGCATTGTTTGCTGAGTGTCTGTGTAGCATGGGAAAGGTGCAATGGGAAGGAGGAGGAGGGGAATTTCCCTTTACCCTATTAAAATATGTAATTTTTGGATCCTACTCAGAAGTGTTAAGATGATAATGCATTTCAATCCGTAGATGCTGCTGCTGCACTGTTTGTCTTCATCTGTGTTTCAAAGGAAAGAGATAATAGTTTGATTTGGTAGATAAAAAAGAAAAGTGAAGTTCAGACATGGAACATGTATAGAGCTTTAGGAGCCAGTAGATTGGAGTGGATAATCTCTAGAGGTCTGGAAGCCGCACATGCTCATCCTTGGACCTTAGGGTGCTGCACCCATTCCCATGACCCTCACCCTGCTATCTTTTCTTATAAGTTCCCTTGTGCCCCCTAGTGGCATAAATGGGGAGTTGTGGTGGGCAAAGGTGCTGGAAACACCTCAGAAAATAGCAAAATTGACTCACATTTCTCTTAGAATGCACAAAGGAACTTTTAAAGTATCCCATTTAAAACAAATGGGACAATATAGATGTGCTAGAAGCTGAATTTCAATTTCTTGGAAGCTATATGTAACCGGTAGACTGTGTATTACCTCCCCCTGAAGTAGACTGTTAGCAGTATTATATTATGAAGAAAAACTTTTGTTAGTATATCCTGGGACAGGAGAAGTAACTGGTCTGGAAAGCAATATAATTTATGATAATCTTCAAAATTGCAGTTTTCTGTAATCAGGCAAAAATGAGCCAACAACTGTGCTTCTGTTTGGAACACTGGTCATGCTAAACCAGTGGTTCTAAACCTTGAATAACCCAGGTGTTCCTGGATTTCAAATCCCAGAGGCCTTCACCATCTGCTGTGTTGCCTCGAGTTTCTGGGAGTTGCAGTCCAAGAATACTTGGATTACTTAAGGTTGAGAACCCTGTACTAAACAGTGAATTCGATGGTACTGTACCTTGATTTAAGCAGATTCAGATTGTGTCATGTGAACTGGTTTATAAGATTCTTCCATAAGCCAGTAAACCAAAGAAGGCAGAGATAGTAAAAGCGCTCATGGGGCATATGCAGATTTTGTGAAAATGAGCCAAATGTAGTAGTACATTCCTTTCATATTGGTTTGAAACTATCTGCCTTAGGCTTGTAATCTGTAGTCTGTAACTTATAAAAACAGATACCATGGTTACATGAGTATGACTCATGTAATCAACAGGTGTTAAATGAAATAGGAAATGATTTGCCAATAAACTAATAATGGAATGATTTGATGTACAGTATCAAAATTGTATATCTGTTCAGATAAGCAGCAGTATTTAACCCATTGTAAGACTTCTAAGTCTTACATGATGTAAGAGAAAAACAGGAGTTGCATTTTGCCCCTCTGTACACTTTTAGTGAGATACTGGGCATGCTTTAATTCTGTCTGGCTCCATGTCAGTCTATTCCTTGAATTATCTGATCGCTTATCTGCCTTGCAGGCATTACTTTTTGATGTTGTATAGTAAGTGACAAATTATTGTACAGAGTATAGTTGTTTTTCTGCTGAGATCTTAAGCTCATGAGATGAATCCATTTGGGGAGAAAGGCGGGGTAAAAATATTTTAAATAAATAAACAAACATGATATGCTATACACCAAAGTAAAGATATTTGCTATGCCACATGGCCATACTAATTTCCAGGAATACGTTCTATATGGTGGCTATGAAGAGCTGTGCAGGTTAGCCATTACTTTCAACATTGTTGCATTGAAATTCTTTTTATCCCTAGCCAAGACAGCCGGCGAAGAGAAGTCAGGGGAATTACAATATACTGTAAACAACATTTAGACGACCATGGTGCTATTTAGTATTAAGGTGCTGTAGCCCGTTCTCCTGAAAGAAGACTACATCATATACTGAATGGGTTGCTAGAAGACTTAATAGTTTTTCAGAAAATTGTGTTCTGAGGAGCTAAAGATATAATTATTTCTGAAAAATAAACATTAATAATGTTTGCAATGTTTGACATCTTTCTTCATGTTGCAGGAGACTTCAATGGCTCAGGAATCTCCCAAAAATTCAGCAGCAGAGATCTCTGTCACAACCAATGGAGAACTTGAAGATACACAAGAACACAACTTTAATAGGGTAGGAATGCCTAGTCTTCATTAAATCCTGAAGTTGCTTGCTGGTAACCCAATTAAATTAATGAAGAAGTAACCAAGTTATGGGAAAAATGTACTGCCTATACTCCTGTCTAACCTTCTGGTACTTAAAAGAAGCTTGGTTCCTGGCAAGAGATAAACATGAAAATAACTTCATAATAGTAATAAGATCTATTAACATTAAGCGGGGATTGGGAGGTTGAAAGACTTAAAAATGTCCATTAATTGCTATTGAGAGTCTTATTCTTACCACTTTTTGTTAAATTAAACAAATATGTAATTTGTTCTGATTATGGGGAATAAGTCATGTTAAATGTCCAAAGTTAGGAATAAATCTCCCAGACAAATATGAAGTGAAGCCAAACTAGCTGGAATTAGAGATGGGGACAAATCCCCATTTTGGCGATTCATCCTGATTCATAATCCGCCAAAGAGGATGAAGCTCTCTCCATGAACTGATGAAGCACAAACCTGTTTGACTACAGCATAGTTTATATTCTTACATTTCTTGTTAAATCTTGAGCTGCTTTTATTTTTAGCTTTTAACAACATATATAATGCTGCCTGACCATGTAGTTAAATGAGGTGATGTGGGTAACTGAAGTGTCCCAGTTGCACATGTATTTAAGATGGAGATTATTATTGTAAAATACAGTTGTGCACCTGCTTGTTGCTGTTCCTCTCATACTAGAAATTAAACATGATTGTGGCTGTTCTGATTTGCGTGCAGCATCTTTAAGCAGTTATATTTTGTTGAAGCCAAACCAATCCCCCAGGTTCTTGAGCCAATAAGTTCTTTGCGTTCATGGACATATTTTATTTTCTATTGATTAATCAGTAATAGCAATATTTATTTTGTGTTTCTCATTAAATGAAAGAAGTATTTTAGCTTTCTGCATTTTATGTGTTTTATGATTTTTCTTACCTTATTCTTTGTTGATCACCATTTCAGTCCAGGCAATGAAACAATATTTCTAATGTGTCCCCTCCCCCTTGGTAGTTGTATTAAAATCCTTAATCCCATGCCATGCAGTCAAATTGAGAATACAGTACTAGCCTGTCTACTGTGTATTCTCAAAGGGTATGCTCAAAGTTTTTCTTGCATATTGCATTCTTTATCTTAAAGAAATTGCTCCATGCTATCTCTTTTTATTCCCCTTACATTTTTCAGCCAAATTCAGTGATACATACTTATATTTGTCAACATACTTTGCACTTTATTTGGATCTTTTATCTTGAAGTTTGGGCTGCTTTCTTTTAACTGATTATCATGAACTTGGTTTTCTCATCATTCAGTTTTAGATAGGCATCATTGACTTAGTTTTTTTCATACTGTATGAATGTTTCCATCAGTTTGCTGTGTTGGACTTTGACAAATGTTTTCTTGTAGTTAAGAAGGCAAGCATACAGATACACAATCTCTCCCCAAGTATACAGTATATGGACATGGTTTCAGATTTTCTTGTAAATCCAAAATACTTGTTTCCCTTTTTGCACTTCTTGTAAATTCTTACAGAAAACCATAAGTAATTGACTCATAAAGCTTTTTGGTCTATAATCGCTACAAGCTTTGGCATCTTCCTTTTGAATAATGTACTATGTCAGTCTTGGTTAAATTACAGTAGTGATGTCTGTTCTACACATGAATGAGAAAAACAAAAATATTGTGGCAGCTTTAAAACACATTTACTTCAGTGTGGCCTTTTGTAGATTGCAAACCACTTCCGACTGTTTTTCAAAGGGCTTTTTCTTAATATGGGAGGTAATTTTCTGTTTCTTGTGGTGAAGAAGGAACAAGGAATTTCTTCTGAGAGTAGGTGATAAAGGGTTTTCTCATTTCTTTCTTCTAACCAAAAAAGTTTGCCAGCAGTTCAAACAGCAGGCGAGCTGCACTGAGCTGTTCCTGAGTTCTGTACATCACTAGGAAAGCTGTTTTATGTTCCCAACATTGCCCCTGCGAATGATGCTATAATGATGCATCATCTTTCCCATTGGGCCATTGCATGGGCTGTTGCAGTGCCACCAGGTTCTTGATAACAGCTCTGCTTTTACTTGAGGCAGTAGCAGAGTTTTAGGTTAAAGGAAATAATCAGGGGAACATTCTGGATTTTTTTTTCATATAAAAATAAGCCCCTTCCCCTCAAAATTAATAATACTTTTCCTTGTGTCATAAGACAAGTATCTACACTTTGGTTCAGCTTCACAGTTGTAGTGAACTCATAGGCATTTGGTAGCTTACCACTCTAACTGATCTCATCTGAAATGGAAATATGCAGTGGTAGAGCATGTGGTTCATAGGCAACAGTTCTGAGGTTCAGTCTCTGCCATCCTCAGTTAAAGATAACAAAGCTGGGGGGAAACATGTGCCTGAGTCATTTGGAGGGCTATTAAAGTAAATCTTATTGTGCTAATGAGAAATGACTCACTGGATCTGCATTTTCACATGGGTTTTGAAAAAGTGTAGTTCATAATACCTGTGGTAATGTGTCAGAGCATGTGTGGTAATTTTAACCCTTTCCTCTCCAACTATGATCCTGTTGAAAATTACTCCTCCAAAGTACTATTACATTAGTGTCAATAGCAGTTCTCACTGGTGTTAGTGAAATAATTATTATCCCTCCGCATTGCTGTTGTTCACGTTTTTAAGAGTATGTTACACACACAAAAATCTGGCTCATCGTGGATCAGACTAATCACCTTAGGCTATGTATCAAATACTTATAATATATTTATGCAAATTATAGTGAATTCACAGATAAACTATAATATATAGAGTTGACCTTATGCAATACAAAATAAACTGCAAAAGCCATTTACAGTGTGGCCTATGGTAGTTGGAAACAAATGAGTATAATTCCATTCATTAAATATGATCAGATTTTTGCCTTAAACTTATCCAAATCACAGGCTGAAAGATTTCCTGAAATACCACTCTCCTTATATGTTTTGAAAAGTAATTGTTCTCTACAAACTCTTGCGAGTTTCTTACTATTTTTTGACACTTATAATATAACATCATGTATGTGGTAAAGGCTCATCAGATGAAGTTACTTAATTATATTGAAAGTCTCTTTAGCAGTATAGATGAAACATTAATAATTCATTCTAATAACGTTTTGGATTTTCATCCCATTATCAAGATGGAAGACACCAGGTTTTGAGATTAATTTTAAGAAATCATGAGCAGATGTATCTATTGTATTAGCTACAATAATACTGTTGTAAAATATAGTTCTCATGCAAAAGATCTGTACATAGATGGTGTATGTTTGAGGGGTTTTTTTTAGTGATAATGGCATTTCTCACTGACAATGCTACTCCTTAGCACAGGAAAATCAGCAAGGACCCTTGCACATATAGCCAAGCAAAGTTACTGCCTTGTGCAGTATGAATAGGGTCAGACAAAAGGAAAAGTACTTTTGCTTACATCCATCCTGTAAGACAGGCCTCACTGTAAATGTATAAAAACATTTCACACAGTTGATTGTAACTGCCTGCTTGTGCAATTGAAATGAAGCACTGCAATGTGATAGACATTTGCTTGTTCACTTACTGTTTTGCACTTGGTATTGCTCATTAATTTTCTTGCAAGCCTCATTTTTAAGGCAAAGAATCATGTCTCATCACCCAGTCACCAGGGAGCTCTGCTCTCAAGTGTGCTTGCACATGGGTAGGTCCTGTTTGACACCTGGTGCTCTGTTGTGTAGTCAGTGGTGTGTCTCCCAGGTGATCAGTAGATTGTGTTGCCCAGTTAAATGTTTTGAATTGAAGCTGGTACACAGTTAGACTTGGTAATTCTTCATTATACTTTATTAGACTTTATACTTTATTAGACTATGTATTAGCAATTTAGTATGTCCTTTCCTATTTAGATCTTAGTGTTGTCACAGTGAACCATATTGTGGGATTGGAGAGATATTCTAAGGATGCAAATGTGGAAGAAAAGTGATATATGGAAAGTGAGTGGAGAGTCTGGTTTGAATAAACAACATGTTCTAGCTCAGGATAATGTTCTACTTCTGGTAGGGTTTGAACCCAGATATCTGCTACTTGAGAAATACTGTACATGTGTTGCAAAAAGTTTTGCAAATTACCCGTATTTTTTGCTCCATAAGACGCTCCGGATCTTAAGACGCACATAATTTTTAGAGGGGTTAAACAGGGAAAATATATTCTGAACCAAATAGTGTAATAAAATATTTAATACACTATAACAGAATAACATTTGAACCATGTAAAGTGAACAGCAGTCAACAGTGGCATTAAGAACCGTTACCACTGTCATTAACAAATGGAGAGACTTAAAGCTTTGTGTACTCATGTACCATAAATTTAATTCAAGTACATATAGACCATTATCAGCCAGTGATAAGACCTATACCACGCTACCTATATTTTATATTTCCTTTCAGCCACCTCCTCCCCATGCTTATAGAAATGACAGATGAGATTGTTGTGCAACTCTGCCCATCTACAGCTCAATCCTATATTAAATTAGAAATGGTTTGTCTGATTGGGCACTGCATTGAGAGGTCCCTTTTAGTTGTGTGGAGGATAAATAGTGGAATTAAACTATTTAACAGCTGGTTTTCCTTATTTACTTTAGGTTATGCAAAAGAACAGCAACACAAAGCTTAACCTGATCCCATTCACCAGCAGTAGCACATGCTCAGCATAAGACCAAATCTCCATTTTCTGACATAATTGAA